CTAATCCTTCTTGGAGCCGAAGAATTCCTAGGGCCATGTGCATGTCAAACACTTGTCTGTTTAATAAGAGGGTAGAAAAAAATTCGCTATATATATAATAATTAATACTATAAATTACACCATGTGTATATGGGTAATAAATTCAACACATAGAAATTATGAGAAAAATAAATGTAGAAACAAAAATATCAAGAGTGAAACTCAAAACTAGAACTATTACCCACAACAAATTTCAGAGACATAATGTTTACCAAGACATGTCTAAATATAATAATTCAATTATCGTGCTAGTAACACACACTAAATAAAAAAAAAATAAAAATTATACCATTAGTCATAAAAGGTACAATTTTTTAAAGGAAAACGGCTTCGTTAATAGCTCTCAAAAGCATTTGGGATTATCAATCTATCAGACAAAATCGAAATATGCTGTCGAACAACGAGACAGCTGACAGAAAATCAAATAACGATTAGATAATTGGTGCTTTACCTCATAACGTTCTAAAACCTACAACCACTTATTGTCCTCAGTCGGTTGTGGGTATGGTAGTCACCCTTAAAAGCCATTAAAGATTGCAAAGTAATAAAGTAAATTATTTTATTGTTAAACCACCCATATTTTTTTTTTAATTTATCAAACACCCAACCGCCACACTTTAAACTTAGCGTAACCGTAGGAATTTGTTTGTTAACAAAATCACTCTTAATTTCTACATTACAATATGACAAGAACTGTATAACTCTTCACTAATAATTGGGCACCCACCTTACTCCCTTACCAACATCATTCATATATAAAATGGAAAAGCTGAGATAAGCTCAATTACTTGAAGCTGGCCTTTCTAGGCTTGGTAGGCTGAATCAGTCACCAATCATATGATAAAATCATATTTAAAGCCAGTACTTATAATATTTAGGTGTTCTTGAAGTACTAACGTCTTCTTGACAACCAATGATTAGGAATATAGGTAATTAGAACATATATACAGGATATTTTTCTAATTCTTATAATTTCTCATATTTTATAGCTGTTAAACTTTAACTTATCTTCTAACAAATTAGCATTATCTTTGATTACTCTTTAACTGGGAAATGGCTATTCCTTTGAACTTCACTACACAACTTATGGTGGGTAAACCAAAGATTGGAAAACTAAATTCTAGTCTTTTATCCCAAATGGTTAATTGTACTCTACCTTCTATAGTAGCCTTTCTCAAATTGGGGCTCGACTCAAAATGGAGTTGCAAAGCTATTGTAGAGGGGTCGCGAGATTATAAAAAAAATATTGCGAAAACGGATATTTTTGAGTGTGTATGATAACAATTTGCTATCATTTTGTGTGTTTGAGGGGGGAGAGGTCAAAATCAGAAGTATTTTCAAAGGCGGCCCAGCAAAACACGTTTGAGAACCTCTGTTCTATAGGAACAGTATCTCTACATAAATTACGGTCACTATGATCATTATTATTGTTACTCCGTTCTAATATAACTTCTATTGGATAGATTTCAGAGAGATTAACATTTAGGTTATTAATATAAATTAAGTAATCAATATAACAGAAAGAAAAACCTTTTAGCTAAGTTTTGTTACTCGTTTCAAAAAGATGTTTTCATAAAAGTAAAAATACGTTTTAGCCATATTTGAGGAAAAATTGGCTCCCATATTTCGTATAAAACAGTTGTGGGTATTATTTTTGCATTGATTATTAGTGAACTTGTATTTAGAAATAACTATATTTTGTCTAAAAATGTATTTATTAAATCATTAAAGACTAAACAAATCTTGTAAGTCTATTTTATTATATAAAATCATATGTTAGGATAGAAAAGGTTGATTCAACAGGATTGGTTCGTTTTGAATTTCGTGCAAAGCTACACGAGGGCTGTCTGCTATAGACATCTTTAATTTAGCTAGCTCACCAATGAATAGTGGGACTGACAATCGCATTATAACAGCCTAACTGCTGAAAGAGCGAGCATGTTCAGTTACGAGGATTCGAACCTGCAACCCACAGAGTCATTTTAGTGTCTACAGAGTGACTGACAGACAACACCCTACTGTATAGGGGTGCGAGTGGTTAAAACAGGCGACCCCTCGAGGCGGCCTTCAGTCCCCTTTCAAGGAAATTAAACATCAGGTCATATTAAAAGAAGCGTAAAACAAAAACAAATTAAATAACACGAAGATACACGTTACAACACGGAATATTATAAAGTATCTCACAGTTTTAGATGTATATGTTGGAACAAAGATTCCACAGTGTTAAATAAACACTGTATACGATATTTAATCTTTATCTGCTTGCTTCACAAACTGCAGAGAAAGAGGAAAGGCGAACAGATGTGGGTATTAAAGCTTACAAGGTTCCACATCTTTATCCTCATTCAATATTTGCAGTCAGTTGTGGGAAGGTGATAATGAAATAATTACTATAAAGAATATCATTAAAACATATCACCACTTGAGGTAATAATTAAAAAAAAACTTATTTTTCGGGGTTGGTATTCCAGACCCCATAATGGTCTACATGATAGTTAGTTAAACAATGAACAAATAACTAACCACAAATTAACCTTTTTATTAGCAGCACAACATATACGTATATACCAATCTTGACGAAAATTTAAAAACAAACAACAGACACGTCCACTGTATATTTTCACTGACATCTAAGTTATCATTAAGCATTCTTATTCACTGAAGAATAAAACAAATCAAATTTCAATGAAATTCTCACTGGATAACGTTGAAGTATTCCTGAAGGTCTTCGTTAGAGCATGTTACCCACGATTTTTTATAACCCATCAGGAGGATGTTCGGATGCAACTTTCCAATCCCAACGAGCTGTAAATGTAATAAGTATGAAAGAATAGTAATAATTGTCTCAGATTCTTTTAGCATTAATAACATAATTGACACTAAATCGTTTCGTAACATATAATTTAAATGTGTTTTTACACGTTCAATACATGTGTGAAATTTTACACAAAAATACTTCCTGGCACTTCAACAATAACTTGTGGAAGCTCATACGTATTAAAGTAATTTGTAGTTTTATTTACAAAAAACTTGCTCAAATTCAAGACAAAAAAAAAAAACGAGGCAAAATGCTATGCAGCGTGAACTAAAATCATTAAAATCTATTAACGCAGACCTAACATGTTTCTGCAGCTTTATGTAATCCTAGTAAATGTATGTTGAGCAAAAATATAATTGGAAGTAAATGAATATATCAGATGTTGCATATCACATGATGCAACCATACCTAGTTTTAGTTGTACTGATGCATAGTTTTTGTATCAGAACAGAAACAAATACACGTAATTCTTTAGAAATACTGAAGAAAAGTAAAAATCATGTAATAAATTTAAATAAAGAACCAGAAATAAATCTACTGTGGAAAATATTTTTATGTTATAATAATACTTAAAATTTAGATGTCGTTGTTCGTTTTTATGTACAAAACACACTTCACATTATTTTGATACTTTTGATGATGGCAAACCAGAGATACCGAAAATATTTAGATCTGTGTCATAAAATTATGATTATTATAATCACTGTAGTATAAGTTCTATCCCATTTTGATGTTTTATATTAATCTATAATTATGTTTATCCATGTACTACTCACGTTACTTTGCAAATAACTAAAACATAAAATATAAAAATTGTATGAATTGAAAAATATAATTTTGCACCATTTTTTTAAAAAGCCGTTTATAAACACGTAAATATAACTATACTCCACATCAACTATATTATATAATAT